CAAAGAGGAAGAGAGGGAAGCATGAGTCACCAACAAAGAAGAAGAAGCTTACAAGGATTGGAAGGGTTATGCATTGTGGATTCTGTGGAGAAACTAGACACAATATATTGAAGTGTCCAAAAGAGAGAGCAAAAGATGGACCAGAAGCTAGAAGGGTAAAGAAGAAATCTAAGAAAACATAAAATGGATATGATGGTGAATCAAGTCAACCTATGAATCAAAGCCAACCAATGAGTGAAAGCCAAAATCCTTGTAAGCTTCTTCTGATTTTGTTTTGTTCATTTGTTTCTGAATTTGAGTATATGGTTTTTGTGTGCACAGAGGGATGAAGGTGATGGTGTTACTTTGGACAGTTTTTGGAGGAATCACGGACTATGGAAGCACAAGATCGTCAAACTTGGTGTAGGACAAGCTTGCTTTTATTTGGTTTTAGTAAAAACTCTGTTCCCTTTATGGTTTAGAACAAACAAGCTTTTATTCGGTTTTAGAACAAGTTTTATAAAAAACAAGCTTTTGTATTCTTTATGGTGTTATTGGTTTTACCTTAAAACTCATAACTTAAAACGTAATCCCTTTTGTTTTTTATAATTTCAATATGGTTTATCTTAAATCTCATAACTTAAAACATAGTTTATGATCATAAAAAGTTATTACAAGTTACATGTTTCTATGAATTTCAAACATCAAACTCATGATCATAATAAACTCGACACATACACAAAAATTGTCTCCAATCTAAATAAATTAAACTGACTCAAAATACAAACAAGTAAAAGAGAGACATCACAGCCACACACACAATCATGTTCTTCAAACTACGAAGCTCCATTTTGTAATTTCGAATCTTTTTTTCAACAACAGCCTCACAAGTTCTTGTCTCCATTTCCAGAGTTTCAATCTCTGATTCACAAGCTCCTAATGTCTTTTGTAACTTAGCCGAAGCTCCTTCGATGTCATCTATTTTTTCTATCAAATCCTCAAGCTCTTCAACCATACACTCATCAGTCCACTTAAACACATGAAACCATTTCCCCTGCATAAACATAATACCAAACCAATGCACAATTTAAACACAATTACTTTTCTTTCTCTTCTCTAGTCTTAATTCATCAATTCCCCTCTCTAGTCACAATTTAAACACCATTTTCCACACAAAAAAATCTACTTTACATAATAAAATACATAGACATACCTCTTCTGATCCATATTGACAAGCATGAAACAATCTTCCCGAATTTCTAGCGGTCCTAGACGTTTTTATCACTATCGCTCCTCCACGTCGACATGTCTTAGGGAAGCCTCTTCGAAATTCAGACAGTGTATCAGACTCGTTTC